TATTTACCCATAAAGACAATGCTATTCTGCCACTTTCAGACACGTGGATGAAAATGGAGAACTCTGGGCTAACTGCAGCCAGTCAGGCAAGAAGGCTCGTGCTCCTTGTTCAAGTTCCTAGGTCCTGTACCACTCATATGTGGGAGCTGAAAAGTGGGTCTCACCAGGAGAGAGCAGAGTGGTAGCTCCTGGAGCTAGGGAGCGTATGGGGTGGGAGGGGGTGAGGGAATAAGGCTAACAATGTGTGGGTTGGGAGGGGGTGAGGGAAGATGGCTAACAGTGTATGGGGTGGGAGGGAGAGGGGGTGAGGGAAGATGGCTATCAAGCACAGAAGTATGGCTGAAACTGAAGAGGAACTTCTAAAGATGATTTGTTTTATTCTTAATTGTGTGTGTGTATGTGTATATATGTGTGTACGTGTGTGAGTGAGTGTGTGTCTGAGTGAGTGTGTGTGTGTCTGTTATACATGTATTTGAGCACAGGTGCCTGAGGGGGCCAGAGGCATGGAACACCTCTGAAGCTGGAGTTCCAGGTGGTTGTGAGCCACCTAACATGGGTGCTAGAAGTCAAACTCAGGTCCTCTGCAAGAGCAGCATATAGTCTTAATCACTGAGCCATCTCTCCAGCCCCAAGAGTAACTTTTAATATGCTAGGGCATTACTAAAGTATGAGAAATAGCTTCTAATGTACTGTGGTTGGCAGCAATTAATTGTATGCTTCAAAATAACTACTGGAGAGGATTTTTAATGTTCCCAACACAGAGAAAGGACATCTTAGTTGATGGATAGATATGTCCTTTACTCGATCTGATCTTATTGTGCACCTATAGTGAAATATGTACAATTATTTTCATCAAAGGAAAAAACGAAACAAAAGTCAGGTATGGTAGCACATTCCTATAATCTAGAACTGGGGAGGCAGGAGACCCAGGAATTCATTCAAAGTCATTTTCAACTACATAGTGAGCCCAAGGCCAGCCTGTGCTGAATAAGACCTTGTTTCAAAAACCAGAACTAAACAACCACCAGAAGAAACCCAACTAACTCCTCAACCAAACCAAACCAAAAAAAAATCTATCTGAAAAAACACAATGAAATTTTACTTAACATCCATTGGCTTTTAAGTGTTCCACAGAGGTCATGTGTTAGACGCTTTAGGTCATGTGTTAGGTTGCTGGGAGTGTGCCCTTAAAGGCTGTGAGACATTGTTCTTGCCCATGGGGCAGTTGTCGACACCAAGTCCTCTCTCCAGGATGTGCTGCATTGTCAAGGGCTTCACAGCAACGAGACTGAAATCTCCAAACCCTCTAAACCCTGACCCAGACAAAACTTTCCTCTTTAAAGGAAGCATCTCGGGTATTTCGCTGTAGTAACAGAAAGCCAACTAGCACAGTTAGGATAGCTACTTTTTTAAAAACCAGAAACTAGTAAACAGCAAGGCTTTCGAGAATGCAGAACTGATGGCGATGTAAAATGGTCCAGTCTCAGTGGAAAATAGTGTAGTGCTTCCTCAAAAGAGAACACACAGAATCACTGCATGGCCAGCCATTCCTCTCTATGGAATACATCCCAAAGAACTAAAGTCAGGGTTCATGGTAACAGGATTCTCAGCACCTAGAAGATGGCTAAAAAGATAAAAGGACAAACAAAATATAGTATATGATGTTCCGTTGGAGGCCCTGCTTCAGGCCCCCTCCTCCCTCTCCAAACTCTGCCCCTCAGAAAGCCTGCCAAGCAGCAGCTCCTCCTCCAGAGCTTCTAAGACTAAGCCCATAGGTCTGTGTGACTTCTCTTCCTCCCTCCCCCACCTCACTTCTGCAGGGCTTGAGAGTCACCTGGGAGTGCTTTGCTCAGATTAAACCTAGCTTTATTAATTCGGTTTGATCTGGCTTATTGCGTTGGTGGAGAAACCTACTACCGGGAATCCAAAAGTACTTATCACACACAACCAGTGAACACTACTGAACCATGAAGAGGAAACTCTGACACAAGAGGGATGAGTTTCGATGATATTATGCTGGGTAGCATACACCACAAAAAAGACAGAGGTAGCGTGAGTCCCTATGCGTGGGTTACCTAGAATAGGGAGTGAGCTGCCATGTGGGTGCTGAGAATCGAGGTCAGGTCCCCTGGAAGAGCAGTCAGCGCTCTTAACCACTGAGCCGGTCTCTCCAGTTCATTTTATTTTATTTTATTTTATTTTATTTTATTTTATTTTATTTTTTTGAGACAGGGTTTCTCTGTAGCTTTGGAGCCTGTCCTGGCACTAGCTCTTGTAGACCAGGCTGGCCTCGAACTCACAGAGATCCGCCTGCCTCTGCCTCCCGAGTGCTGGGATTAAAGGCGTGTGCCACCACCGCCCGGCAGATGAGGAAATCTGGCTAAGAACCACAAGGGGGATGAGAGTACTAATGGAAGCCGAGGAAGGGCAGCTTAGATTTGCTGGGCCACCTAAGGATTTCCTGGAATCCAGGCTGTCCAGCTTTAACACAAAAGCACATCTGAAAACATTTAACTGGGAGCAGCGGTGTGCGTTATGAACTGATTTCCTCCAATGCTGACATCCTAAGCACATTTGGGATGGCCTTACGTTTATGGTCCTACATAGGTACTCAGGGAGAGAGAACACTTAAAACTAGGGAAAAGTTAGCACTAATTGAAAAGTGGCCAAAAAAGACACATATGAAATGACATTGCAAACTAGCATTGCAATTCATGCTCTCATCTATTTTGTGAATGTTGTCATTACAGCCATTTGTCATATCTTCTCATGAGGACTGCAGGCTTCCCTGGCCTCCCAGCTGCGGGGAGTAGGGAGGCTGAGGTCTTGGAGACTTTGTCTTGACTTAACACAACCAAGGGCATACACATTGCCCAGAGAAAAGAGGATAAGAGGTGGGAGCTAAGTCCTAGACAAAGGTAACAACTTTTCTTTCCCCTCGTCCCCTTAGCTTCTGTGCCCCACACCTCATTATCTATGTCCCCAGTTTTAATCAGCTACTACTAGATCTGTCCTTGCTGCTGATTCTGAGTGGGGACCAGTGTAGACTATATGCTCTCTGAGGGCAAGGGCGTGTCTGTCCATCAGTCTGGGACTCTACCAACAGTCCCAACAGCTAAACAGTGAGCAATTACACTGATTCAGGAATTATACTGTCTTTTTACATATATTAACCCTTTTTATCTTCATAGCAGGCCACAGATTGTCCTACTATGCAGTTATCTGCATTCAGCTGATAGACAGATTAAAATACAGAGATTAACTAAGTAGCTCAAGCTCAGTTAGTTAATTCTAGAAGTCCTACTGCTTTCTCCTGCAGGAGTCCTGTGCCTTCCCATACTTTGGGGACCTTAGTGGGGTTGTAAGAATGCTGCTAGATCTGGGGGCTCCTTGAGGGCGAGGGTCCTGCCAGTCTTGGAATCCCCAAGTACAGAGGCTGCCGCAGTCCTGAACCCTGAGCCTCATAGGCTTTGTGCTTCTCTCTGGCCTATGGGCTGGCACATCAGGGGATAGAGACCTGATATTTCCACACTGGCACTTCCCAGGGCATTTGGCCTGTTGGGAGCAGCTTCTCTGCCACCTTGGCTTTCCTTTCTCCCCACCCGAGGCTTCTGACCACAGCAGCAGCTGGAGCCTGAACACAGCACGGCTTCTCTCTATCCCCACTCCAAGCTGATGGATCTGAGCATGAGGTCGACTGCCCCTGGGATCTGCCAGGCAGTAAACAAGTCATTCATGCGTCAGTTGTTTTGCTCCAGAGCAGCCTCATCAGCTGGACAGACCATGACCAGCCCTGCCAAGTTTATCCCCATGGGTGGGCTGCGGGCTGGGAGTGGTGGATGGCCTGGAACTCAGCTCAGTCTTTTCCATGCCCTTGAAGCTGCAGAGTTTTGTTAGGAGTGGCAGTTTGTACTAGTGTGATCCTAGGTACCTAAGACACATGGGAAGGGCTGCTGCTGCTTTATGGGGTGTCTTAGGAGTGGAGACCCCAGAAAACCATGAAGAATGGAAGTGGCAGTCTACTGAGAGACACCCTCGAGAAGTTTCCAGAACCATGCAGTTCTCTGGCCTCAGGGCTCAAAAAAGTTGGTCAGAATGTCCCGAACCCCATTAGCTCAAATTCTTCCTGTCCTGTTTTCACTTCCAAGAGAGCCATGTTTGTCCAAGTTTTCTCCCCATGTCTACCCTGTCTAATATTGCAGAAAATTTAAGCTGAGGGTCCTTGGGTGTCCAAGGGCAGGGAATAGGTTTAATAGACTGGGGTAGAGGATAGGATGTGGCATTAGGAGTCGATGGATTGCAGAAGCAGAAACCCAAGGATATAAACCAAGGACCAAGGTCAGGAGGCCAGGAACCCCAGGCAGAGGAAGTAGAGCCACCGGCCCCATGCCGTCTGACCTGCACTTTCGTTCTACTCTTAGCGGGTAGAAGGAGGTGACATTCTCAGTTTCTTTTTGCAGATGTGGAGCAAATTAAGTAATCTGCAGTCTATCCCGGTTTGCAGAAGAGCTGGGCCTCCAAAAGGTTCCCAGGGCTCTTTGGGCCAGGGTTTTTGGAGGACAGGCTCACGGAGGAGAATAAGGGCATATCCTTATGGATCAATCAACTCCTCTGCTGTCAGCCCCACCCACCATACCCTCCAGAATAAGCCACATCTGACGGCAGAGGCAGTCACAGCATGCACGACAGCCCTCCGCAGACCCCTCTGTCACAGCTCAGCCAACCCGTGCTGAGCTCCACTCCACTTTTTTTTGTTGTTGTTGTTTTGTTTTTCGAGACAGGGTTTCTCTGTAGCTTTGGAGCCTGTCCTGGAACTCCCTTTGTAGACCAGGCTGGCCTCGAACTCACAGAGATCCGCCTGCCTCTGCCTCCCGAGTGCTGGGATTAAAGGCACGCGCCACCACCGCCCGGCCTCCACTTTTAAGGCATCTCACGCCACCATTCTTCCTGATGTTCTCCCATGCCTCCTGCACCAGCTGTCCAAGAGCTCCTGTGCTTACCCTGTCGTGATGTCATCATCCTCTGTCATGGTCTTGCCCATGAGGTCACTGTCACTCATGTAGCCGGACTTGAGGTCCACCTCATCGGAGTCCAGGGACTCCACCAACTCCAGGCGAGAGATGTGGCTGAGCTTGCTAGGGCTCCTCATAGGCATCGTGTGGGAGTAGTGTGCCCGTTCCCCATGCATGTACCAGGCTGGCGGCCCCTCAGAGCGACAGCTGCCCCCAACAGAGGGTGCATCACCAGCCTGCAGCCGGGGACTGGACTGGCCGTAGCGCCAGGAGAGAGGAGAAGAGCGGTTGGAGAGGCTGGATACACTTCGAGGGTTAGCATCGTCACTGTCGTAACAAGTCATCTCCAGGGAGCTGTGGAGAGAGCAGATGGCATAGCTTTAGTCCTCAGCCCAACCAGTCTGTGCCCTGTCCCCTCACTGGGATGCCCCTCTGTAGAGGCTTCTAAGTGTATGTTCCTTGGTGACCGGTAATCTCAGACTGTCGATGGAAAATGATCCTACGTAGACAAGATAGCAATCCCATACACTCCCAAGAGCCTATACTGTGAGCATGGCTAGTGTTTAATACTTTTTTGGGCCATTTTTTTTGTGGCCCAAATGGCCCAAAGAAATAAATTAATCTTGCTACTTCGTTATTGGTGAGATAGGAAAATGCCTCCCCTATGTAATGTTTGTAGAGCTGGGAGGGCTGCAGCCATACAGATCTGAGTGGGCCTGACAGGTACAAGATGCTCACCCAATCAGAAAGGGCCTGGTGGGTTGTGAAGAGTGGAGGCTACTGATCACCAGAGCTCGGAAGACCTTTACTGTTCACTTTGCCCAGGGTGTGGCCATCACCTCTGTCTATCAATAAGCAAAGGACTAGCTGATGCCCAGGTACCAGATCTATGAAAACCTAAAATTGGATGTGGAAGTTATGGGACAAGCTTTTGGGAACCTGAAATATGAAGCAGGCCCCAGGAAGACTGGTTCTAGCTATAGGCCAGGGGAAGAAGTGGAGTCTCCTCAGGGAACAGAGAAGAGGACACAGGAAAACAGACAAGAGATACAGCAAGATCCAGGCTCCCAAGCATTCAAGCCACCAGGTCAGGCCAAGGAAGCGATAGGCAGGCTAATACCAGAATGCCTGAGGCTAGAGAGCCGGGGGCCTTCTCTCACAGGGCCAGAGAGGAAATATGGCTGAGGTCTGGCAGGATGGTTCGGGATGTGATTGATAAGTTCACCAAGCCTAGCCATGGTGCCACTCCACGTTACTTTTGACCCTTCTCTATCACTTGGCCTGACGAAAGTCAGACAGGGTTGAATCAATGACATGATGTATGTGGGTCACCAAAGCTGGGTCATCTGAAGCCACCCATGGCTAGACATGAGGTAAACAAAGCAGAAAGGTCTTTGATCTGTGACCAGATCCCTCTCTCAGCCACTCTCAATGGGACTGGGATGGGAAGCAGACATTGATTGCTATTATTATTGTTATTATTGTTGTTGTTTTTATAAAGTTGCTTGAAAAAAAGAAAGCCCTCCAAAATGGTGTCTTTATTAAGCCTGAGAAAATATTCTTTCTATTCCTTCCTGGGAGGAAGGGTCACCAGCCCTGAAAAACAGCATGATAGTGTTCTTGGAGCTGACCTCTGGGCATTTAGTGGCCTCCTGAGTACTCCCAGATGGCCTACTCCTATCCTTCCCTCTGAGCCCATTCTTTGTAGTTCCCCATCAGCTTCTAGTCACTGTGGACCTTGACACCTTCTCCTGGGGAAAAGAGAAGCCCCTGATGGCAGGGAAGCCATGGGCATGGTGTAACTCAGCCCTGGTTCTCACCCCGTATTCTAGTGCTTCACAAGGGAATCACAGCAGGGACAACCCCAGGATGGCTGTGCTGAATGCAGTAGGGGCTGTCTGGCCCCAGAGGAAGGTCAGAGCCTTGCGCAGTAAGTGCTTAACAGAAACAAGCTGCCCATGAAATGACTGTTGATGATGGGGGAGGAGAAGAGGGTGGATAAGTGGCAGACCATGGCTTGAGGTATCCAAGGGAACTGGTGTGGGCAGTTGGTGTCCACCATGGTAACAAGCGCACGAAGCAGTGGGGGTTCCTCACTCAGTTCTGTCTCTGGCCTACACCTCTTCCCCAATTTTGAAGCTCTATTTTTTAAAGCACCAAAATCCATCTTTAGGTCTCAGTGGGAAGGGTTTCTAGCTCAGAGCTGATCTCTCGACCTCCAGCTGGGGCCCAGCACCAGGTTGGTCTCCCTGGGGAGGTCAGTTTTGCTTCCTCTTCAGCCTCAGTCCCTACCCCAGACTCTCCCTGCTGAAGGAAGCATAACCTACAGAAATAGAGGAAGCAACTTTCCAAAAAGGAACCGAGTCTAAGTTACCCCATGAATTCCAGGGTGACAGCAACCTTGGCAGATGTACCCCTTGGACCCTGAGGCCCTGGAGGATAAGACTATGTTCGCTCTGAAGGCTGGTGCCCCACACTGTATGAACACACAGCTGCCCCCATCAGCCCATGGGTCCAACAGGTACATCTTCTCCAGGTCCTCTTCCTAGCCTAGGGAATATTATCGCTCCAAGGTGCAGGGAGATATTGGTTGGTAGCAAAAAAGCAAAAAAGCCATAAAAGTCAGGACCCTGGGGTTTGGACTGTACAAGTGCGAATCAGAACTATAAACCAAAGGCCAGGAGAAGTGACCCCTTGTCCATGGTAAACGGAAGACACAGGCTCTTGCTGGTCCTTTCGTTTCCAAGAGGGAGAGGGGAGCCAGACGCCCCAGGGCACTTGTCACAAGTAGTTAGCACTAAGGGAAGGCTTCAGGCTTCCCTTCCTCGTGGCAGCAGGGTCTTCCCTACTTCCCTGGGGCCTGGGGCACCAGGAGCCTAGAGCAGCTGCCTCTGCCCTACTTCTGCAGTGAGTCATCTGGGGTGTAACTCTCATAGCGACTCAGCAATTCTTGGCTTCTTTGGCACAATGCTGGCGGGTGACTTGGCATTGAGAGATGTTCCAGAAACTTCCTTGGCCCGGGGGGTGGGGTGGGGTGGTGAGAAGGATGTTCAAGATTTTGTCTATAGGTGGCTAAACCACTGGGTGATTCAGCTGAGTGGGAGCCCCACTCTATCTGATTCCTGCTTAGGGCCTGGGGGATGGAACAGAGACTGTCCTGGGACTGCTGAAGCCACCCTGACCACTCTCCCCAGACTCCCCAATCACCTCCTTTTCCGTTGTCAAGGAGATACCTAGATGTCTGTGAATAAGTCCTGGTTTACCTAGGTAAAAGTAGGGATGCAGGAGGTAAGAGAAGGAGGAAAGCCTCAACAGGAAGACCTAGGGCCAATGGATGCAGGCTCCTAAGAGGAGCATTGGCAGCAGTCATGGTACTCCCTAGATCAAGATGCCTGATTGGAGGATATGCAAGTATGTCTTGATACTCCTCTGACAGACAATGCCCCAAACTAATCAAAGTCCTTTTCCAATTAACCCTATGCCCCAGCCTTACAGTCAGGTTTTTAGCATCAGGCGACAGAGTAGAACCCACCTCCAGTTCGACTGAGGAGGCTTTGGTTCCTAATACCCAGGCTTCTAGCCTCCTTGTCCATGTCTCGTGATTTCCCAGCCTTGGCTGCCTGCTCACCTCCCTCCTCAGGACTTAGCTGGGCCCTCTGTCCCCCTTAGGGCTGACAGTATGATCTCATCTGAGCAGCGCAGGGAAGCCCAGAGGAACTGAATGGGAAATTCTGACTCACAGGGGCTGGGGCCAGAACACTGCTCTAGGGGAAAGGGCTATGGGAGAGGTGTGTACCCTGTAGCTGGAGGCTTGGGGGTTTCTGTAAGGGTTGGGGGACAAGAGGGATACCATGGGGTTGATTTTGTGGGTGACAGTAGGTGGACCCTGCCAGGTACTCAGCCCTCCTTCAGGAGTGATAGAAGTAGCCAGAAGACACAGACTGGTAGAGGGCTGAAGAGGACCCAGGTCCTAGCATCCCAGAAGGATGTGTTTAGTAAACAATGTCGCCTTGACAGATGAGGAGACTAAGGCCCAAGGAGAGACCAGGTATGACAGACCGAACACCAGCCGTTTTCACGGTGATACAGTTAAGTGAGATCCCATGTTCATGTATAAGCAGAGACAAGACTGCACGGGGCTTCTGCTGAGGTGCTGGGCTCCCCTTTCCCCGCAGCGCTGACAATGTGGGGATCCAAACACCCGTGTTCACAGAGGACAAGGCCACCTTGTGTGGAGTGAGCCCGGGGCCTTGCACTCAAGACCTAGGGAGAAGATGTCACCAAAGGGCAGCTCAGTCTTTACCTGTGCGTCACCTGGGAGCCCCGGAGGCTGGACATGGTTTCTTCCAGGTTCTGTCGAAGATCCAGAACATTCTGCACTGTCCTCTTTCTCTGCGACTCTGGATCTGGCAAGGAGAACAGAGGAGCTGGTGAATGGGAAGGCCTTCCTGAGGAACCTGGGGGCCACGGAAGGGGAACCAGACCATATCTTCCTGAAGCCAGGCCTCGGGCCGGTCACCCGCTTAAGATGACCAAGAGAGCAGGTCCTCTAAAGGCCTCCGCAAATGCCCTGGGCCTGCTGAAGCCCCAAGCCTGACAAGGGCTGCAGACAGAGCCACTGCCTTCCCTCCAGACCCTCAGGGGCATGACTGCCTCTGCCTCTGGCTTAGGGAGGCTCTTCTCACAGCAGAGGCAGAGGTCACAGGTGAGGTTTCCTGTGGTGGAGTAAAATGGGTCACTGCCCTGGAACCTCCTCGGTAGCTAGCACTCTGCTGCTGTGTTCTTAGGGCCCTCAGAAGAGGGGACCCACTGATGGGCAGTGTTCGCCTGCTTCCATGGTATGAATATTGCCATGTGGTTGGTTTCAGTCCATCAACATGTCCCTGGTCAGTGTTCTGAAGGCTTGGGAACATGTGGAGTTGCTGTGTGGAGGCCTAGGAGGTAGTCCTAACAAAGCCTCCTGAAGGTGAGGTGGCTGATGGGAGCTAGAGATGAGCAGCCATTTTCTGGGGCAGTTCAGATCCTATTCAAGAGCTGGAATTCTGACTGAGGAAGAAGCATGGGTGTGGCCAGAATCTGGACGGGTTAAGGACCACTTTTGCTCAACTTGGTTTCTGGGCAGGATGACGTGAGCCTGGACCAATGTGAGCCTTTATCTGTAAACAAAGCTCCATCCTTTCTCCCATCTAGGATGGAAATAGCATCCAAATGATGCAAGGCAAAGAACCTTCCTTTCCCTTCTACTGACCTGCCAACTAATCTTTATGAAATACCCACTTGGGGATAGGTGTGGTGGTACACAACTTTGATCCCGGCACTCAGGAGGCAGAGGCTGGTGGATCTCTTTGAATTTGAGGCTAGCCTGGTCTCCATAGTAAGTAAGGCTACATAGTGGAGCCCTATATCAGAAAAGAAAGACAACAAAAAACCCCAAACAGACCCAAAAATGAGTAAGAATAAAACAGCAAAGACACCCACAGAACTTGGTGCCAGGCACTGGAAGGACACCGTAACGAAGGCCCTGCTTGTTGCTTTATATTTTCCGTTGGGATCTAAAGTCACTGTCACCAAACAGAGCCCAGCTTCCCCAATCTTCCTCAAGAGGCAGCCTTCGGCAATCAGCCACAGAAGGACGACAGTGGGACAAGCCCTCTCCTCCCTCCCTCAACCCTTGCATCCTTCTGGGCAAGCCAGCCTTACCCCCACTCCCAGCCCCAGTCTCTCTCCACCCACAGACTCAGCAGGAGAGCAAGCTCCTTTTGGCTGCCAAAGAGAACATTTCCGAATCCCATAAGAGGTTTTTATTTATTTTTTATTTTTTATTTCTTAAGACTGAGCTCAGTGTCTGTCTGTCACTGCATGGCTGGCCAAGAGAAGCTGGGTGGGGTGGCAGAGCCATTGGTGTACGGCTCTCCCCAGAGCCTCTGGGATACCTTCCCCTAAGACCAGCTCTAAACCTGGGCCCAGCCATCTCTCTGTTCCCCTCCCTTGGAGTCTTGCCCCATCCCTAACTTCCCATGGCCGGTCCCATGTACACAGCACTCCATGGTGGTGCCAAGGAACAAGGACAAACGGCAGGCCTCCATGCCAGCGCTCTGCGCTCCGTCCACAGCCCTGGCACCGTCTCTCTGGCTGCCAATGCCTGTTTATCCTGGCAAGTGTCACCTGTGAGCTGCTCCGTGTCTCTAACTAATGGCTTGGCATGAGACACAGGGTCAGAAAGTGTACACCTATATATTCTAACGTTTAATTCTCAAGTGCCTATGTGGGAACCTAGAACATGGAGCCAAGGTACGGGCTTCCCAAGAGAGTGATGCTTTCTCTGGGTGTGACGGAAATGACCCAGTGTGCACACACCTCCAGTGTGTGTTTCCAAAGAGGGGAGTGACTGAGAGTCACGCAGAGACTCCTGGGTGTGCCAGGCCTTTGGACACATCATCCAGTGGAATCCTTACAACATTTCTGCGAGATCCAGGCTACTGTTCCATTTTACAGATGAGAACACTGACACGCAGAAAGATCAGATAGATTAACTGAGGTCACACAGCGAGCATGTAGCACAGAATAGGGCTAGAGTCTGAAAGAAACTCACCTCTTTGGACACAGGACAGCGCACGCTTGTGTCAGAAGTGTCGTGCATAGTGACTGTATACAGTAGTGCTTAAACATATCCCAAGAGTTGATGACTGCAATCACCGTTTTTAAAAAGTGTGCGTGTGTGTGTGTGTGTGTGTGTGTGTGTAGCGGTTGGATACTGTGGCGTTAAAAAATATCCCCCTCTCTTTAAGGGAAAATGTTTAAGTCATACAGTGAGCCCGCTTCATTCCTAATTCTCTAGGCCTCGGGCCACAGCAGGGCATGATGGGAACTAGAATCCAAAATCTTGGTAGTGACAGAGAACCATATATCAACTCTTGACATATCAGTTATGGTGCCCTCTGTCTCCTCAGAGACCTCCACCCCAACCCCTACATTTTCCCACATCAACAGAGTAGAGCAGGGTAGCCCCCCCCCCACCCCGGCTGGACAATTCTCAAAAGCCAGACATCGAGGTCCTTGAAATGGCTCAGCCCAGTCCTGTGTGCCACTGAGAAGGAAGGAAGTCATGGTGCAGAAGTGCAACCAGTTGGAGACAGTTGTGCCAGAATTACCTTCAGCCCCCAGAGTGGGCTTAGGGGAGGCAAGGAGGCCAGGACACAGCTTGATTTAATGGAGAGGACCAGATCTGTTCAGCGTCAGGGCTGGGTCAGTCCTGAAGAGGCTACACCCTGGCGTTCCTTGGTGTCTCAGCAGTGCCTCCTGGTGGCCAACTAGGGTATGCCACCTTATGTTTCCACAGCGCTCTCTCTCTCTCTCTCTCTCTCTCTCTCTCTCTCTCTCTCTCTCTCTCTCTCTAAATAAGGGTCTCGCTGCTCAGACTTATATAAATATAAGAGGTTACAGATACTTTACTTAGTTGTATGTGGGTGTGGAGTGTGTGAGTGTGTATGGAGTGTGTGAGAGTGGGTGTGGAGTGTGTGAGTGTGTATGGAGTGTGTGTTCGGGTGGGGGGGGGGTAATATTCACACCTCTGACCCCCAAGGCATTTTTCGGTGTTTCAGCTTAAAAATACATTAACTTGTATTTGCAAAAGAACTCAGTCCACCTTGCCCCACGCCCCAGCATTCCAGATCTGTACCCTGCCCTAGCCTAGCACCTGGCCCTCAACTAAGCCTTGCTTCGTTTTCACCGTGTCCGATGGAAGTGAGAGTCTGGGAAGGGGTGGAGGGTTTTGCGGTTCCAGTCGCTCTGTGATGACATTAGTATAAGCTGAAAGTGCTATACTTTATTCTCCTGGCTAAGTCCCGATGTCTTGGGGGCTGCCTCTCTGTATCTTGGTCAACAAACCTTTTGGTCTCAGCATGGGCGGACCTGGGGACAAAATAGAGCTGAGGTATGTCTCCCCACTACTGCTGCTCGGGATGTTCCCAACCTATGTGGCATCTCTGCACGGTACAACTAAGTTTTTGCAGAATAGGTATAGCTTCAGGGATAAAGAGTGTGTGCGCGCGCATGTGTGTCTGTGTGCATGTGTGTGTACATATGTGTGTGTGTGCCTACAGAGAGTATCCTGCCCATGGAGTCTTTCTGAGGATCGACAATCAAATCTACCTGACGCACAGGTACATGCACACAGAAACGCCAGTGGTGCCAGTGACGTGTGTGCCACACGTGGGGCACGATGCTGGGCGTATGACTCCACGGTATTCAATTTGACTAATCATATCGGTTTGGATTCCAAACCCCTATTCCTTCTATTACAATATGTGCCTCAGATTAGACACATCTCACCATGGTGTGCCGGTTCTGCAAAGATACACATGCCTCCCGTTGTGTGACAGGAAGGTGACTAAGAGACTCTAGAGGAAGAGAGAGAATTTGTGCATGAGAAAGGAAGGCCCAGGGGACACGGGGAGGGTGATGTAAGTAGATTTCTTCTTGGCATCAGACACAGGGACAGGCCTCCCAAGGATGACAAGATTGAGCGGCTCCTGACCTAAGACCTGACACTGAGGAGAAGCTGACTCAATTCGGTGTCGAGAACGTAATTCTTAGGCCTGTCACTGTGGAACATGACTTTAACTAACGCTGAGAGGCAGAAGCAGGTGGATCTCTGTGAGTTCTAGAACAGCCTGGTATACATAGTGAGTTTTGGGACACCCAGGGCTATGTAGAGAGACCCTGTCTCAGAAAGAGGGGAGGACGCTTCACCTGGTCAGGCTGCAGCAAGGCTTAAGGACCAACATACTTAGCACAGCGCCTGGCACACAGCAAACTTCCTAGAAATGCAGCTCAGGGCCCGCAGAAGGTAGAGGTGGGTGGGCAGTGGGCTGGAGCTCTCCACTCTCTGCCATTGACAGATGGCTGGGACCAAGCTCTGGCTTGGTGAGACCCTCACACCTGGATCTAGGGGCAAATGAGAAAAAAACCTTGCTTCTGCATCATCAAGCTGACTAGATGCCTCTCTCAGGGCTTGTCTCGCCTGGGGGAGATAACAAGGACTTGCTCGGGCAAGAAGGCTATGGACAGCAAGCCTCCAACTCAGAGTGTAAATTCCAACAGTCAGGCAAGTTCCGAGAGGAAGAGGCTCAGGGGGAGCCGTCACCCAGGACTCAGATTTTCCCACATTCTGTGAGGTTTTAATTATTAGCCAGCAATTAAGTAAACTGCAATGACTGATTGGCAAAGCCTTAATTACTTTCAATGTTGCAGAACCCACACGAGCCTTTGAGCCCAGAGCAGGGCAATTGAAAACTGGGTCTACACCTCATCCCCAGACTGGCTTTTGCTGTGAGCGGCTAGGGGAGGCGCAAGCCTCCCAGGATGGGCAGACTGAGTCAAGAGGGGGCTTGAAAGCACTTGCCAC